ACCTTTTTCCCTCCCATGACACTCGCAGCTTGCAACTTCCTCCCTTCTCATGACACTCCCGCCAACTTGCAACATCTCCCTTCTCATGACACTCCAGCCAACTTGCAACATCTCCCTTCTCATGACACTCCCGCCAACTTGCAACATCCCCCTTCTCACGACACTCCCACCAACTTGCAACTTCCTCCCTTCTCATGACACTCCCGCCAACTTGCAACTGCCTCCCTTCTGATGACACTCCCGCCAACTTGCAACATCCCCCTTCTCACGACACTCCCACCAACTTGCAACTTCCTCCCTTCTCATGACACTCCCGCCAACTTGCAACTGCCTCCCTTCTCATGACACTCCCGCCAACTTGCAACATCTCCCTTCTCATGACACTCCCGCCAACTTGCAACATCTCCCTTCTCATGACACTCCCGCCAACTTGCAACTTCCTCCCTTCTCATGACACTCCCGCCAACTTGCAACTTCTCCCTTCTCATGACACTCCCGCAAACTTGCAACTTCTCCCTTCTCATGACACTCCCGCCAACTTGCAACTTCCTCCCTTCTCCTGACACTCCCGCCAACTTGCAACTTCCTCCCTTCTCATGACACTCCCGCCAACTTGCAACTTCCTCCCCTCTCCTGACACTCCTGCCAACTTGCAACATCTCCCTTCTCATGACACTTCCGCCAACTTACAACATCCCCCTTCTCACGACACTCCCGCCAACTTGCAACTTCCTCCCTTCTCCTGACACTCCCGCCAACTTGCAACTTCCTCCCTTCTCATGACACTCCCGCCAACTTGCAACTTCCTCCCCTCTCCTGACACTGCCGCCAACTTGCAACTTCCTCCCTTCTCATGACACTCCCGCCAACTTACAACTTCTCCCTTCTCATGACACTCCCGCCAACTTGCAACATCTCCCTTCTCATGACACTCCCGCCAACTTGCAACATCTCCCTTCTCATGACACTCCCGCCAACTTGCAACTTCCTCCCTTCTCCTGACACTCCCGCCAACTTGCATTATTATTATTATTATTATTATTATTATTATTATTATTATAATAAAAAAGAAGTGCTAAGCCACAAGGGCTATACAGCCCGCCAACTTGCAACTTCCTCCCTTCTCATGACACTCCCGCCAACTTGCAACTTCCTCCCTTCTCATGACACTCCCGCCAACTTGCAACTTCCTCCCCTCTCCTGACACTGCCGCCAACTTGCAACTTCCTCCCTTCTCATGACACTCCCGCCAACTTGCAACATCTCCCTTCTCATGACACTCCCGCCAACTTGCAACATCCCCCTTCTCACGACACTCCCGCCAACTTGCAACTTCCTCCCTTCTCATGACACTGCCGCCAACTTGCAACTGCCTCCCTTCTCATGACACTCCCACCAACTTGCAACATCTCCCTTCTCGTGACACTCCCGCCAACTTGCAACTTCCTCCCTTCTCATGACACTCCCGCCAACTTGCAACTTCCTCCCTTCTCATGACACTCCCGCCAACTTGCAACTTCCTCCCTTCTCATGACACTGCCGCCAACTTGCAACTTCCTCCCTTCTCATGACACTTCCGCCAACTTGCAACTTCCTCCCTTCATGAACTCCGCAAATTGCAACTTCCCTACTCTGCACCCCGCCAACTTGCAACTTCTCCCTTCTCATGACACTCCCGCCAACTTGCAACTTCTCCCTTCTCATGACACTCCCGCCAACTTGCAACTTCTCCTTCATGCACTCCGCCAATTGCAACTTCCCTTCTCACACTCCACCAACTTGCAACTTCTCCCTTCTCATGACACTCCCGCCAACTTGCAACTTCTCCCTTCTCATGACACTCCCACCAACTTGCAACATATCCCTTCCCACGACACTCCTACCAACTTGCAACTTCCGTCCAACATACTCCAACCAACATGCACCCTGCCCCCTTCCACTAGACTCCCACCAACTTGCAACCTCCTCTCCCCTCCCCATACCACTCAGACCACGTTAATAAAATACAACCTAACACAAGCACCTATCCCTTCCCCACTCAACAACAACGTAAACATGAGGGACGCTCCCTCTCCCTCGTTCCTTGCATAAAATGCTGTTATCACCCACTCCTTGGTTCTTGCGTATATATTAAGCACTAATTCCACTACATTTCCATTCAACCCGAAAATATGCCTCTGTTTAAAAAAAAAATAAGAATACGACAACCATGCACAACTCTTATATGTAATCTACATGTTCAATATTTTTTGTTTTACAAACTGCTGCTTTGAACGGCTACAGGCCCCTAAAGGAAGGTTCCTTGATCGGTGGTGCCTTGATCTAGGGACTTGATCTGTACGACCTTCCTTGAATTAAATGAATACTTTACATCCCACAGGGGCTGTAAGATAATGATGATAATAATTTATAATACGGCTACATCATCTGTGTAAGTACGAGAATGTTATAGGCATATAATTTTTAAATTAACGTCATTAATTACACTGCAATATGCGCATACCATTTACCAAATATTTCAGGATTGTTGTAATAAATTTAGGCTTAAAAAAGTTTCGTTATACAGAACCTCCTCTGGGTATTTAATCTAGATTAGCTCAAAACTAAATTGTATGAATTATTTTCACTGTATGAGGAACAAGCTGCAGCACTGACAAATATTGGTATTGGGGTTGCTACCACAACCAAAACTGAACTGAGCCCTAACTTCTGGCTTTCGGGGAAAAAAATTCTCGAATTTGGGCGGAAAATGGAATACGTGTTCCAAAATAGGAGATGTTGAGCTCCCTGAATAAAAGTCTCACTCCCGCACCATAGTCAATGACCGGTTTCCTTCAAAAGTAGTACAAAAAAAAAATCATCAGTGAAGCAAAGCAAGGAAGAACAAGTCTCATAACACCACCAAGGCCTGGTGGCTAAAGCTCCCGCTTCACACACGGAGGGCCCGGGTTCGATTCCCGGCGGGTGGAAACATTTCGACACGTTTCCTTACACCTGTTGTCCTGTTCACCTAGCAGCAAATAGGTACCTGGGTGTTAGTCGACTGGTGTGGGTCGCATCCTGGGGGACAAGATTAAGGACCCCAATGGAAATAAGTTAGACAGTCCTCGATGACGCACTGACTTTCTTGGGTTATCCTGGGTGGCTAACCCTCCGAGGTTAAAAATCCGAACGAAATCTCTTATAACAGAAGTGTTACCCAACATTACTGTTTCTTTCTCTGGCTGAAAATAAAGCATCCGGGCGCCAGCCTCAGTGGTGACGTCACAAACCATAACAAACACAACAGGTTCGGTTAAGTTTACTGTGGTACATATAACATGTTTTGGGTAATTACAATTAATCATGGGGAAGCGCTAAACCCGTATGGGTCATTAAAACATGAAACTAGTAATATAATATTTTCCTTTTCATATTTCTACTAGCTGTTAAAACATTTCTTGGAACACTAAACCTGTTGTAATGTTAGATCAACAATATATAATACGTACAAGCTGCTGAATAAGACATGCAACTTCTGAGTATCTTAACGTTTTTATTGCCCAGTAGGGGCTTTATCAATATAATATAGGTTGACAAAGCCCCTGATGGCCGAAACGTTTCTCAAATAATGATATCCAGGTGATGCACAAATAAGGGTCAGACAGCACCTGGGGGAGGAGAGGCAATCAAGTTTGAGCCAAAGAATAATAATATACAAAAATAACCCGCACATAAAAGAGAGAAGCTTACGACGACGTTTCGGTCCGACTTGGACCATTGACAAAGTCACTTTGTCAATGGTCCAAGTCGGACCGAAACGTCGTCGTAAGCTTCTCTCTTTTATGTGCGGGTTATTTGTGTATCGTTCCAGTCACGGTATTGTGCCTTTTTGTTATTAATAATAATATCTTTATTTACTGCAAGTACATGTACAAGGTATACAGTCCTAGCTGACATCAATGACATACTACTATATAGAAAGCCGCTTGTTATGCTGAGCATTTCGGACAAATTAGGTCAGTTTTGTCCCAGGATGCGACCCACATTATTATAATTATAATCAAAAAGAAGCGCTAAGCCACAAGGGCTATACAGCGCTGCGATGCGACCCACAACAGTCGACTAACACCCAGGTACCCATTTTAAACTGATGGGTGAACAGGGACAGCAGGTATCTAATGGAAGCCATCTGGAGAAGACCCGGGCCGGAAGTACCGGCAAATCCCTAATGAATGAATGAATCTAATGGAAGCCACGTCCCTAATGTTTACCAGAAGAGGAGTTTAAAGGCCCAATTTCTTGAATCACTTAGCTCCCCACCAGCGACAAATCACCTGCTTAGAGGGACTGAATATTATAATGGTACCTCACTCAACGTTAAGCTTCTGCTCCCTGATTTACCCGTAAGTGCTAGGAAATGCTTTGGTAAATATTTTTTAATCCGAATTTGTCCAATTTATCGACACTGTTGGGAGTTCTGTTTTGGTTAGACGCTTTAAGCTTTTTCTTTATATACCCCTGGGAATCTTTATTTATATCTTACTGGGCATACATATCCTAGGCATATCCAATCTTAAATACATACAACACAAAGGCTGGATCTACATATTCTGAAATACAAGTTCTGAAACATACATATTTTAGAAATTTCACACTGACTTTACTGCGTTGTCCCAGGTTAAATCTTTGTGATGAAGGAAGAGCGTTTGACTCGCCCTCAGCAGATGGATTATTATTATAATCAAAACTAAGCGCTAAACCTCAGCAGACGGAGGATCAAGCCTCCACTTCATCTTGCGATGAATGACCCACATGAGCTTAGCGCTTAACATGAATTATTATATATTATAAATGTGCCCTGGGAAGCACTATACAAATTTATAATACTGTTTAAAATGTGTCAAATTTCCCGATTATTTTTATCTTGACCTACTAATTTTCAAATCTGAAATACGTTCTAGATATATCTAAATATAAGTGGGGACTTCTGATATATATGAAGATATATGTACACTCACCAGCCAAAATACCATGGGGGTGTGCCAGGAAGCCTGGCGGCTCGGGCCGGGTGCATGTCCAGGGCCGCCCGCAGGTCCACGAACTCAGTTCGAAACGGCAGGAACTGACAGTCGTCAGTCACAGCGTCATAAGAACCCTCGATACTGTCGTACACGCTGCGAAAGAAGACCACTGAGAACCTCTCGAGAGCTGCCCAGTATGCGGCGGCGCCCCGGACCACCAACGGGCGGGAGAGGTACGCCCATCTTTCGAACTCATCCCGAGAGATGTTGGCACTCAGTATAATGGGGCCGCCCATGTCGCTACACACTCGTTCACACTTGGTCCGCGGCCGTGTGGCTTCCATTACAAAGTAGTTGTTCCGGATGATGCATTTCGAAGAGATAAAATCATTCTTTAATTTGATAAACACTTCAGAATAAGAATTTAACACGAAGCTCAGTGCGACCACTGCGATGGCACCCACTACCCATCTCCGCCAGCGGCATGATTTGGCACTCGCCGCTATTTTACTACAATCTTCCTTACTAACTTTCAGCTTGCCACATCTGGTAGCCATGTACACATCCATGAGATGGTCGACGACGATGCCAGTCTCCTTGGCATCGTGTAAGAGTCGGTGACAGAGTAGATGAAGCTTGGTGTGGGTGTGGGGAGCAGTGTGCTGACCAACATTGTTGTTCTCTGCCATGCCAGGCTGGTCTGGCCACCGTCCTGGGGGGGACCAACCATTCACTCTACCAATAATAATAGTCATGCTGCTCTTCTCGTATATCTTGTAAATATGTAAACAAAAAAAAAACTAATTCCCCACATTTTACAGGTATTAAAATAAACTTTTTTATATATATCATAAAAGTGTTGTTAGTGTTCATCACTGTAGATTACTGAGTGAAGACGTAGTGATTATTATTCTGGCAGCTGATGGCGCCTGAATTTGAGCCACTGCAGGAAGTCCTCCGGCTTCCTCCCCTGCCTTTGACTTAGGAACATGATACCTTTTGTCATACCAATCAATCATTATAGCTTATTAGAGAGGCCATAGACCCCTACAGAGTAATAAGGGTTAACTGGAAACTTAAACTATCTGCATTTTAATCTACAGCAGCGACCTGCCTGAGCTGTTTTTCTTCCGTTTAAATGTAATATTAAGACTGATGTCCAGTTCTGGGACTTGGTGAGCAGTGTTGAGTATAGCTGAAGTTGCATTCAAATTATTTTAATGAATTATTGTTATATCCTAGGTTAATATCATCATATATAGCACTTATATAAACAGGACTACAATACGCAAACTAAGGTTGAAGAGATAAGATAAGATTTCGTTCGGATTTTTAACCCCGGAGGGTTAGCCACCCAGGATAACCCAAGAAAGTCAGTGCGTCATCGAGGACTGTCTAACTTATTTCCATTGGGGTCCTTAATCTTGTCCCCTAGGATGCGACCCACACCAGTCGACTAACACCCAGGTACCTATTTGCTGCTAGGTGAACAGGACAACAGGTGTAAGGAAACGTGTCGAATGTTTCCACCCGCCGGAATCAACCCG